GAAAAGGAATGTGGCGGACTTTATGGCAAGGTGTCCGAATTATCAGCAAGTGAAGGCCGAATATCAATGGCCTGGTAGATTGGCACAGAACATAGAAATTCCAATGTGAAAGTGGGAGATGATTTTGTGGTAGGATTACCGCGCACTCCACGCAAGTTTGACTTAATTTGGGTGATCGTGGACCGACTCACGAAATCAGTACACTTCTTGCTTGTTAAATATACCGACACAGCAAAACAGTATGCTCAGTTGTATATCAAGGAAATAGTCAGGCTACATGGCACTCCAGTTTCTATCATTTCTGATCGAGGGGCTCAGTTCATGGCCAATTTTTGGAAGAAATTTCAGCAAGGTTTGGGTACTCAGGTAAATCTTAGTACAACCTTCCATCCACAGACTGACGGGCAAGCAGAGCGGACTATTCAGACGCTTGAGGACATGTTGCGTGCTTGTGTTCTTGATTTCAAGGGTAGCTGGGATGATCATTTGCAACTCATAGAGTTTGCTTATAACAACAACTTTCATACAAGTATTCAGATGGCACCATTTGAGGCATTGTATGGTAGGAGATGTAGATCTCCCATTGGGTGGTTCGAGATTGGGGAAGCAGAGTTAATAGGGCTAGACCTCGTGCATCATTAAGGAGCGGTTGGGAACTGCTCAGAGTTGTCAAAAATCCTATTCAAATGTTCGTCGCAGAGACATAGAGTTCAAAGAAGATGAATGGGTATTTCTGAAGGTTTCCCCCATGAAGGGAATAATGTGGTTCGGAAAGAAAGGGAAATTGAGTCCGAGGTATGTCGGGCCGTACAAAATCATCCAGAGGATCGGTGAGGCGGCGTACAAGATTGAGCTACCACCTGAGATGTCATTAGTGCACCCGGTATTCCATGTGTCCATGTTGAAGAAGGTAGTTGGAGATCCGTACGCTATTGTGCCGATTGTGACCATTGAGGTTAATGAAGAATTGTCATATGAAGAAATCCCAGTTGCCATTCTTGATAGACAAGTCCGAAGGTTGAGAAATAAAGAAATTGCCTCCGTGAAAGTGTTATGGCGAAACCAGCAGGTGGAAGAGGCTACTTGGGAGTTTGAGGAAGAAATGAATAAGAAGTATCCTTACTTGTTTGAATAGCTGTGTAATCCTTTCTTTTTATGAACTTGTCACCTATGAATTTTGTATCACTTGTTCAGTTAATGTAAATGTGTTCCTTTTGATTATACGTTGTTTTCATGAGGCCACAGTTGGTATTATTATGAGTTATGTTACATCGTTGGATTGTGTACATGTTTTTAGGATGTGATTCTGGGGCTCTCTAACAGGTGAATAGGCCTAGTTACAAAGGAAACTCTAGCAAAATTTTTGAAAATTTAGGGAGTTAGTTAAATTTTGGGTTGCTGGTGTAGGGTATGAAAACTGAGTTGCATGAGGTACTAATAGTAGACCCTGATCCTCATTCGAGGAAGAATGATCTTAAGTGGGGGAGGATGTAAGGCCCCATAAAAGTTTTCCTAAACACTCGGATTCCGTGATGCCAAAGCAGGCGTAGAGGTTAATAATAGTAGAAATTCTTCGCGGCGAGCTTGCGAACCGTGGTTCGGACTTTTTGGATTGAACCACTCTGTGGACCGAAGACTGGTCGCAGAGTGGGACAATTTTCTGGGGCATTTTTGGTGTCAATTTCGCGGCCATTATACGGTTGCATAACCGTTTCACGGGCCACACTCTTGTCACATATCCCGTCTTGGAATTTTTCGGAGGGAGGTTCTGCGGTGCACTATGCGACCATAGAACCGTTCTGCGGTGCATTATGCGGCCGCAGAGTAGGTCTGCGGGCCGCATAGTGACCGCAGACCCAGTCAGTGTTTTTCCAGCTTTGGCACCCCAATTTTGCGGACCATATAATCATTATGCGATCGCAGAACCTATTCCGGAGCTTTATTTTTGGGGTTTTTAAACCCGATCCTATTCCGTTAAAACACCTACCTTGGACCATTTTGAACATATGTTTTGATATTTTTATAGTGAGAGAGAGGGTCCTAGAGGGAGAAAGTGATCTTCATCAAATTGCTCTTCAATTCTCACTTAAAACCTTGAAGATTATCAAGAGAGACACCTAGGTCTTCTTCCTAAGAGATAAGATTCTATCACCCAAACTCTTAATTTCAAAATGTAACTAGAATGGGCCATTAGTATAGTAATTCATGGGGATGGGAGTGCTTACCTTACATGCATGTGTTCCTAAGGTATGTGTGGAGGTTGTGACTTAAAGATAGAAAAGAATGGGGTGTGGGTTGGTGGAGTCTTTCATAAAAAGGGGCATGAAACCTTAATACACACATTGTGTTTGATAGAATGCTCAAGTGAGCTAGAATTATGACCGTTTTCCTAATTTTGGGTTCAATTTTGCTATATTGCTAAAATAGATTGAAGTTGCTAATATTCCGGAACATCATAGAGTTTTAAGAGGCTCAATTGAGGTATGTTGGCTAAACCCCCTCTTCTTAGAATTGAATCCCACGGTATTCATGCAATCGACGTAAGTCCCAAATTGAACGTCCTAGAAATTGCTATCGTGAATGTGCTTGCTTTGAAAATATATGTGTAATATATATTCCCATGCTTTCATCATGTTATCTTGTCATCTGAGGAAATGTTCAAAACTTAGAATGTGCTAAAAATGCCTAGACTTCAAGTCAAATTCGATTAAAGACTACTATGTCAAATTGTGTGAAAAGCCTTTATGTGCCTTAGATTCTAAATTTCTCACATGTGAAATCATAAGCCTTGAATGAAAAACCGTGTTATTATTGATGATAGCAATAATGTTGGAATGTGATAAAGAACTTGAATCATGAAATACGGCCAAGCATCCAGAATAACTTTATAATTGGGGCCACTCGTGCCATTGTATTGGGAAAAGGGGAAAGAAATATGAATTGAGATGATTAATTAAAAAGGGGTGATGTATCAAATGATATGGCCTAGCCAATCGGGCCGAGATCGAACTCCGTATAAGAACACAGTGGTATTGTATATGGAATTGTGAATATGGTTAATGTCTCAAATGAGATCAAATCGATCTTGCTGAAGAAGTTTGGTGAAACCCTCACAAAGGGGGACCTGACATGGTATTCACTCTTACCCGAGCATTCAATTGACTCTTTTGAAATGCTTGATTATTCATTCTTCAAGGCCTATGTCGGGGCAAGAAAGGTCCAAGCCAGAAAGGTAGACATATTTAGGATTGCGCAAGGTGAGCCTGAATTATTACAAAAATTTGTGATCCGATTCCAAAAGGAAAAGATGTTGCTACCGGCTGTACTAGATGAGTGGGCAACAGAGACATTCATAAAGGATTTGAATCTACAAAGCTCATGCGCCTCCCGGTAGTTGAAGGAAAGCCTGCGAATTCCAAGCAACCACATGGGTGGATGTCCATAACCGTTATGAGTCAAAAATAAGAATAGAAGATGATCAGCTCAGGTTCCCGACATCAACCAAGGGACGAGATCGAGACAAAAACCAAGACAAGTTCAAAAGTGACTTTGATGCTGATCGACGGTCTTCTAAAGGTCATTTCTTGCCATATGAAAGAACTAAGGGATGCATCAGCAAAGTGTTTCGGTCCTCAAGCAAGATCGTTCCCTATAGAAGAACCGACCGTGACCGGAATAGCAGGTCATTACAAGAACATGAGGTATCAGGGGCCCGGGACTCCACATATCCTAGGTTATCGGATTATAAATTTAACATCATCTTAGTAGAGTTGGTATCAGCGATGAGGAATATCAAAGAAGCACGATTCCTAAAGCCAATGAGATCCAATCCCAGCCAGAGGGATCCCAACTTGTGGTGCAAATATCATGGGACTCATGGCCATAGAACTAGGGATTGCCGGCATCTACGAGAAGAGGTGGCGATGTTGTTAAAGAATGGCCATCTCAGGGAATGTTTAAGTGATTGAGCCAAAAATAATTACGGCTGAAGCCGGGATAATGCAAAGCCTTCAAAGGTGGTAGAAGACTCTCCTCGGCACTTACTATTACAATGAACGGGGAGGATAAGGAAAAAACTTCTTTCATAACAAATTATGGCACTTACTGTTACAATGTGAGGCCGTCTGGGCATAAGAACGCCAGAGCTACTTATCAAAGGCTCGATAACAAAATGTTTGAGAAACAAATAGGAAAAATAATGAAAGTATATATCAATGACATGTTACTCAAGTCTTTAAATGCAGGGGATCATTTGAAGCACCTCCAAGAGACTTTTGACATTCTCAGAAATACAACATGAAGCTTAACCCAGAAAAGTGTGCGTTCAGTGTTGGTCCTGTAAGTTCTTGGGGTTCTTTGTCTAGCAAATAGGGATCGAGGTAGATCCCGATAATATCAAAGACATCCCGGACTAGCTAACGAGCGTAAAGGAGGTATAGACATTAATCGGAAGGTTAGCCGCTTTAAGCAGGTTCATCTCAAGATCCTCGAAAAACTTTCACCACTTCTTCTCACTTCTCAAAAAGAAGAACAATTTCGAGTAGATCTAGAATACCAACAGGCATTGAGAGACCTAAAAAGGTACTTGTCAAGTCCCTCGTTACTGTTAAAACCGGGGGAAGGCGAGTAGTTACTAATATATATAGCAGTCTCGGAAGTAGCGGTAAGTGTTATTGTTATCCGAGAAGAAGAAGGTACGCAATTTCCTATTTATTATGTTAGTGAAATATTATCGGGAGCGGATACCCGCTATCCGCACCTCAAAAAAATGGCCTTAGCTCTTGTAGTCGCCTCTCGAAACCTTAGGCATTATTTTCAGTGCCACTGATAGCCGTTGTGACAACCTTTCCCTTAATGAATGTCCTTCACAAGCCTGAGTTGTCAGGCCGGTTGGCTAAATAGGTAGTCGAAATTAGTGAATTCGACATTGAGTACAAGCCTAGGATTGTGATCAAGTCACAAGTTTTGGCCAACTTGTGACTGCTTTCAGTCCCGGATCAATGCCCTTGGTGGCTAAGGAAGCAGTGTTGATGTCGAAAATAATATCGGGAGTTTTGTTTACGGATGGGGCTTCCAATGTAAAAGGGTCCAGTCTCGGGGTAGTTCTAGTTACACCCTCGGGAGAAACCCTGAGGCATGCCATTAAGACTATTCCATTAACTAACAATGAAGCCGAGTATGAGGCTTTGGTTACAGGAGTTGAACTGGCCCGAGGACTTGGCTTCGAGGTCATCGAGATCAAATGTGATTTCCAGCTGGTAGTAAACCAAGTGTGCGGGATGTTTGACATAAAGGAAGAACGTATCCAGCAATATGTGAATAAGGTTCAAGCATTGCTTTCACGATTCATGGAATGGTCGATCTTACATATTCCGAGAGAAGAAAATGTGGAAGCAGACGCATTGGCTAATTTGGGGTCATCAACAGAGATGAAAGGATCTGACTCCGGTACAGTAGTCCAACTTCTGCACTCAGTATTGGACATGGACGATTACTATAAGGTCAACTCAACCAACTTGGTCTAGGACTAGAGGAATGAGTTCATCGAATATCTTCGGCATGGCAAATTACCCGAAGACCTGAAGGCATCCTGGTCACTACGAACCAAAGCACCCCCTACTACCTCGTAAATGGACAATTATATAGAAGATCTTACCTAGGACCATTGGCCCAATGCTTGGGATCCTCAGAGGCGGACTACGTGATGAGAGAAGCCCACAAAGGGATTTGCGGGAACCATTCCAGTGTAGATTCGTCAGCTCTAAAGCTGGTTAGGGCAAGGTTACTATTGGCCCCATATGGATCAGGGCGTAAAGGCATTCGTTCAGAAATGCAACAAATGTTAACGCCATACGCAATTGGTGCACCAACCGGCAGAACTCTTGCATTCGGTGTTGTCCCCATGGCCATTCATGAAATGGAGAATGGACATAGTCGATCCTCCACCATCGGGCCCCAGAAAGGTATGATTTATGTTAGTTTTAAATAACTACTTCTCTAAATTAGTTGAAGAAGGTCCTTACCAAAAGATCGGTGAACGTGAAGTGATGGACTTCATATGGGACCACATAATCTGCCGATTTGGAATACCGAAGGAAATTGTTGTGACAACGGGCCGCAGTTCATAGGCTCAAAAGTCACAAAATTTTTGGAGGATTTGAAAACCAAGCTCTCTACCATCCAAGTGCTAACGGATAAGCGGAATCAAAAAATAAGGTGATTATCCAAAACCTTAAAAAGAAGCTAGAAGCTGCTAAAGGCAAATGGCCCGAAGAGCTACCGGGTGTATTATGGGCATACCAGACATTGGCGAAGTTGAGCACAGGTGAAACACCTTTCTCTCTCGTATATGGTGCGGAAGCTCTGATATCAATGGAAGTAGGAGAACCAACTCTAAGATTTTCCCAATCAAACAAAGAAGCAAATAATGAAGTACCGTTAGTGAGGCTGAACTTGCTAGACGAACACAGGGACTTGGCGTACGTGGGGATGGTGGCCCAAAAATAAAGGATGTAAAGATATTATAATCGGAGGCACAAGGTCCTTACCGGGTTTAAGTTTTTACCAGTAAAGGATCGTACGAATTGGAGAACCAAGATGGAGTCAAGTTGCCTAGTAATTGGAACGTGACTCACCTCAAAAGGTACTAATGCTGATGGATCCTATCAATATTGAAAATATGTGCTGCACTCTTTTTTCTTTCGACCAGTTTTTGTCCCAATCGGGTTTTTCTGGCAAGGTTTTTAATGAGGTAACAACGGAAAACATACTACAAAGGGAGCGTCATCGATAAGAATAAGACCTTTAAATGACAAGTCATTGAAATCTTCACATCAATGATAAATCTATATGGGATGGTTAAATAATCTTTGGCTAGATGGAAAACCACTGATGGAAAGCAAAGCTTGCCATCAAACCAAAGACTATTTAACCATTCTCGAGTTGTTTGCACCAATAAAGCAAGACTTCCAGCGTTCCAATTCTCATATTTCACATTCGAACACTAGGGGGAGTAATATAAGATACGGAAACAATGAATGTCATGAGAATTGGGGACTTCTAGAATCGGGAATAATAATGTCTCATCAGGGTTGGGGACTGCATGGCCAGCCCTGTAGAAATAACTTGTACAAATTAGCCTCATGTATTGGCAGTTTTTTTACTTTAGCAAATGAATGCTCGTGTACTTTTAAAGAAAGAAGGAATCAAATAAAATTATTTAATTTTTATCTTATTTATTGTCTAAATGATGAGTTGATTTTATCATTTGAAAGTTAACAAAATACTTCAAATGCTTTTGTCGAAATGAACAGGAGACGTCCTCTTCAAGAGCACTGTAAACACAAAAGGTCCCTCTCTTATGTAACCCTCACAGTAAAAGGTTGATTTCTCAAGAATTTATGCCCGGAATCAAAAGCTATCGGATGAAAGCATACCCAAAACTTTAACTAATTCAACGCAAAAGGAATGCATTTTTCACAACAGTTAAGCACAAATATTCTTCATTCATAAAAGTGTCAAAATTGGAGCCTGAAGAGGAGAGAGGGATATGCGTCTCCCCCGATGGAGGAAGGCGGATCTGCCGCCGGTTCTTGGCCTTCATCCTTGTCATCTTCAATCTCCCTTTCTGTTCCCGAGTACTCAGAACCGGTACTCGTGGAGTTAGTTGTAGAGGGCTGAGGAGGAAGGCATTTTCGAGCAGACAGCTTCAGTTCTCGGGCCTGGGCAATGAAATCATCTATATTAGAAATGCCCCTTTGGCCTCTTCCAAGGTCTTCCTACTCATATAGTATATTGCATAAGTCTTCTCAAATACGAGGGAATCCGCTTGGTTCTAGAGCTTTGCTTGAAACTTTTCAATTTTGGCCTGGAGGCCGTCTCGCTTGGATCTCAAGGCACTGAGGCGAGCATCGAGCTCTACATACATAGCCAAATGGAGCCGGTTTTGGTCCACTGACTTCTTTAGCCTCTCCTCCAGTTAGGCCCTCCTCTCCTTGGAAGCATTGGATTCCTCGGGTTTGGAGGTCAGCTCTGCCTTCAGGTTATTTATTTGATCCTCTGAGGCCGACTCGCGCTCGGCAGCTGTAAGCATAGCATCATGTAGCTAGGCCCACTTGGCCTTGGCCTCTTGAAGCTTTTCATGCAATTGAGCAGCTTCTTGACTATGGGCCATTTTCTCTTGCTCACTCTACTGCAACCGTGCCTCGAGCTCATCTATCTCAGCAGCTTTTGCCTCCAGAATCGGGAGGCACACAGCAAGTTGGTTCCGTTAGGCCAACAGTTGATCTCGCTCGGAAGCAAGTCCTTGCTTATCAAGGATCAATCTCTGCATGACTTCGGAAGTGAGAAAGTTGGCCTGTAAAAAAAAGAATATCAAGGTTAGAATTCCCATTGCAGCAAATAAATGGAAAAGAAGTGATAAGAGAACAAGAATGGTACCACTGCCACATTGTAATAGCATTATTTAACAACATTCCCCAGAAAAGGAATGCATTTTCTTCCAATCCTTCTCTGAAGCCAGAGGCTTCAGATAATTCGCAAGCTCCACCGGCTTGGACAAAAGATGGCTCCCTTTCAAAACCGAAAGAGTGGCACTTCTCCTCCCTCGAGGATCTGAGGAAGGGGTTGAGTAATTATGCCCCAAATTCCCGTGGTTGGGAGACCGGGGAGAGAAGCACCTCCCTCTCGGTCATCTGTTACCGGTAGAGGAGATGTAGTTGGTGCTGGCGGCAAAGGAGCGGTTGGTATTGATGGGCGTGAAGTTGTTGTCGTGGAAGGATGAGAAGAAGCTGCAACAGGGGCAGCGCTGATTATTTCTTGCTCAGTTGCCGAAGGCAGAGAGGCCCAGGGTCCGAACTCCTTGGACCGGAGACAACAACCAAATCCATCTCCCCCCAAAGTGCTTGGACCTCTTCTACGGTCGGGTTTTGATCCCAGCTGAGCATCCGGTTGAGCTGATGAAGATATTTTCCTCCTTTTAAGGGGAGCCACTTCATCACTGTCTTTCACATAATCTACAATAACCACGGTGGCCGGTTCGGTCATTGTCTTATCCCCAAAGTGCTTGGACCTCTTCTACGGTCGGGTTTTGAAGCTCTCCCAGCTGAGCATCCGGTTGAGTTGATGAAGATATTTTCCTCCTTTGAAGGGGAGCCACTTCATCACTGGCGTTTCCATCATCCACAACAACCACGGTGGCGGGTTCGATCATTGTCTTATTTTTTTTCTTACTTTGACTCCCAGCCGAGGAAGAACGTCGCTTTTTTGGTTGTTTGTTCTCTAGATGGGGACTCCGAGAGGAATCACTGGAAGTATATCCGCGGGCACTCTGTCGAACAAGGGCACTTTGTAATAACCTCATGGAGTCCTCGGGGTCAGCCAAAACATCGACCTCAGGGTAGGTGATAGACCCCTGCAGAACTCCTGAATTAAGCAACAAATGGAATTAGCAAAATTACCTATGTTCATACAAAGATAAAAGGAAGAAGGACTTGATTTACCATGGTTCTTGGCCTTCACCCATATTTGAGGGCCATCTCCTTCCACCAGCGGAATTCTAGTGTTGTGATTTCCAGAATCTTCTGAACCCACTGGTCTAGGCCTTGAACCCATGATGGTTCCCACCGGGTAGCTGGAACAAAAGAAACGAAGAGGTCAACAATAACAGAAAACAATCTTTTCACGAAGGAAGGAAATGAATAAATCGTAAACTTACAAAAGCGATTCCACGATTCAGGAAAAGATGGTGTTGTGGCTGGGATGATGTCCCTGGTAGCGATGATGATAAACCGCTCCATCCACCCACGATCATTTCATCATCCACGCTGGTGAGAAGAGCGTGGTGGCCACGTTTGCTGAATTTTATTACAATAGAGATCCGCAGTAGAGATTCATCATGTGTGCAAGGATTAGGATTTCCCCAATCTCCGTGCACAGTTGGTGAAAGCAAGCCACCGTTCGCCATATAGATGGCCCTACTTGTGCTAAGCAGACCCGGTACCGATGGCAAAACTCCAAAGTTACGGGGTATAGCCCTGCATTCGACCCCATAGAAAAGGGACCAAAGGGATACGTATAAACATTCGTAAAACCCTCTATGGTGAAGTTAACCCGCTCTATCATATTCGGAGCGAGGATGTCAAGGTTAGGGCAGTTGCAGTCCTCTTTCACGGTGGGGATACCAGAAGTTCGAATGGATGAGGGATACCTACTAACAACCCAAGTTCGTAAAGACGTAGAAGGGGCCTTCTCTTGGAAGTCATTATAAGTACTGAGGTTTTTAGGTATAATGGTATTTACAGTGGGAGGTTCAGAATAAACACCAACGTTTTTGTTTTTCTTTGGGCCTCCACCGAAGAGAATGCCAGAATTTCCATAGGGTGCGGTGAAAGAAGCCATGATAATAAAAGGTTAGTAAAGCTTTTGCTAAGAAAACCGGAAAAGATGAAAAATTCTCCAAGAAGAAGAGTGCAGAGAAGAAGAAGGACTTATAAAAACTTTGGAAGTATAAGAAGTAAAATAATGA